AGTTTTGGGTATGTAATATGACCCATAATAGTTCTAAGATCATTCTTCTTGGTACCTCAAATAACTTTATGTGAAATTATTATTGATAATGATTTTGGTATCGAGTTAAGTAATTATTAACTTTATTTAATTGATATTTAATGATAAATGAGACATGTGGAAGGCTTATTAATCTATCTTAATACCAAATTTTAGTGACAATTTTTAATATATTACTAAATAAACATAAAATAAAAGTACAATAAAAAACCATGGTATTGGTAGTTGATTTGATTGGATGGGTGAAAATGACGCGTGGACAGTGATGTCATTACCGTGAATTGCCAGTTTAACATCTTAACTAGGGCTAACCTAATATATGTGTCAGATAGGCGATGGCCCAGGGAAGTATGTAGGGGTATGGACATCAGTTTTTTTACTATAGTATCAATTCAAATCATACTGTGACATTAAAACTCATTAGTATTATTTTGAGGGGGAAAACATGTACTTTTAAGGGCAGCATGTAGGGGCATGGGCATCAGTTTATAATATAAACACATTTAGTTTATCATTATTCGTAATTTATTCGTAATGACCTTTTCTAGCTTTTAGTATCAAATCAAATTAGACTTAAATGTTTTTCTAGTTTCAAATCAAATTGGCCCATAATTTAAATTTGTTAAAAGTAATTATTTATTACTAAAAATATTGAATTACTATAGTAACATTATAAATCCCGTTACGGTTGCTTATGCGAAAATAAATTTTTCAAAATTGAAGCTCTTGAAATCCTATCTTCGAAGCACGATGACTCAAAATAGATTGAACAGATTAGCAATTCTAAGCATCGAAAGTCAATTTTTACAAAGTCTTGATTATCGTAAAATAATAGAGGTTTTTGCTTAAAAAAATGTACGAATGTATTGTTTTAGGTGATATTTGTAGCCTTGTACGTGGTTTGTATTAGTATTGATGTTGTTTGACTATAATTTCTATTACATTTTTGTTTTAAAAAAAATTATTTATGTTTTGTCTATTATGTGGTACAGGTATAGGGCATAAAATTATTTTCTCGCACAGGGCATTAAAACTCATTAGACCGGTCCTGATCTTAACGGTCAAACGACAAAAAATTAGTTGAAGGGCTATATTATATTTGTTTTCCGAGTTGGAAGATCACATTGAAAACAAGAATACAATGATCACATTGATTTTTTTTCAAATGTACAACAACCTCATATGTTTTTTTGCCAAATTTATTTTTAGAGTATTTTATTAGCAATATTAATATTTGTAATGTTAATAGACTATTTTATTCAATTGGAAAAAATTATATTCTTTATCTCTTAAATCTTTAGTTAAGTTATCATTAATTTTTTTAAAAGAAAGAGTTATAAAAATTATTAAAACGTAATAAAAACCTAAGATTAAATAAATATGATTTAAATAAAATAATTGAGTGATTAAAATAAAATTATAACATTAAATAAATATGATTTAAAGAAAATAATTGACTGACTAAAATAAAATTATAAAAGTAATTGAGTGACTAAACACACAATTTATCATAATACTTTTGACATTAGCAGGCTTTCGGTGACGTAGTAATATTTTATTAACGGACACGTATAATGGGATTGGTATTTGGTATAATCTGTCTTATTATCTGTCATGAACGATAACGAATAGTCTTTCCTATTTTTGAGAGTAATTTATACAGTTTAATAAAAAAACAATAGTTGATAAAAAATAGTAAAAATAATAGATTTTAATAATAAGCAATTTATAATCGTATTTTAAAAATGATTTTATTTCTAATATCTAAAAATGATACACCAACTAAACTAAACTATATTAAATTAAGTTTATCTAAATATATAATATAGTATAATAATATTTTTACATATTTTAAAATAAAAGAAATTAAAATTATTTCTTAACCCACATGAATGATCGTGATGTCGAATGAGCTTCGCTTGGTTTTCCCATTAAGTCAACGGTTTTTAATTAGTTACCTTCATTCAGTTCAGTCGTGTACTGGGGTGTGGTATCGATTAAATTTAATTGCAATTAGTTTAACTAATTGAAAGCTTAATGAATTAACTTTCAGCGGCTATATCTGGTCCCGGTCCCGGATGATTAATTTGTTAGGCCAAAATGAGGATCCAATCGCAAGATAAAGAAGAACAGCATCAAAGATCAAATCATTTTGAACAACAACAGAAGATTGTATAAGTTTCTTTTTTGTTCTTGCTTATCTTTGAGAATCGATACCTCGATAGTTTTTGTAAACTGATTCCTTTTGCGCCGCTGGTTTTTTCATGGATTACGTCGTTGCTTATATCACCGTTGACAAATAACGGCGGAGCCGAGCTTCCCCGCTTCTCTCGGCACCAGCTGACCTTGCGCCATCACCAACGATTTGTAGATCTCGACGATCATTTTCTCGTCGTACTCTTTAATCGGACGCTTCCCGAAGGCCGATACCCCATGATCCCCCATGGCTCCGCCGTACCCGGTAACCGCCCTGGAGTTGGCTAGCCCCAGCATCATCTTCACGTACGCATCGCGTAGCCAAACAAAGAACTTCGTCGGCGAAGGTAATCTCACCTTTGCCTTGACCCTGATCTTCCAGAATCGCATCTGCCGCGAGGAGCCTCCGCCGAGCTCCACTCTGCTCCGCCGTGCTCCTCCTCTCGAACCACCGTTTAGCTTGACATATCCTCTCCTCTGCCAGTACCCTCTAAAACGCTTGTACATGGTCGTAGAAACACCCTCCATCACCGTTTCTGAATATTCGTATTCCTCCGGAGAGAGAAGAAGAAAGAAAGTGGGGGGAGATTGGAGAAGATACGTATACATATATTTATATACACATATATAAATTAATATATCATAGAGTAGTAGAGGGTGGCGGTGGTAAATGCCAGAGGCGCAAATGAAATAAATGTGTGCGTGGCCATTCACATTCCACGTGTTATTGAATGCTTATACTCTTAATGTTTATGATTTTTGAATTTAAGACCTTCAAAAAATAAAAATAATTTATTTACTCACTTGATTCGTGCTCAAATTAAATATTTGTATAAAATTCCTTTTAACATCATAAATTTGATCTACTTACTAGTTTTTTTACCTTCTCGATTCTTAATGCTCCGTTTTGTTTAATTCGGATCGACTCAAATTGTACACTTGGATTTTTATGGATGAGTATCTTAACATGAATTTTCTACATAACAACTCGAACTTGAGATATACTTAAGCAATATCAAACTGTTTATCATTTGAATCAGTCCTGTTAGTCTTCCTAGTTTCTTCACATGTATGAACAATTGATTTATCCAACCGGGAATTCTGTCATAAGTCTCTTTAATTGCTCAATTTTTGTTTACGTACATTTTAAATTTTTAAATTTCGGTTTTAATCGAAATAATATAGGGATAAATGATCAGATTATAGAGACATAATCAATCAACTTAGAGAGTAAATTTATATCTAGAATTTATAGGTGATACAAATAATTACATATAGTAGAATTTGACTTAACAAATTTAGGATTACTATTTGGTCAATACAGAAACTTTAAGATTTGAAAAGTATGTGAATTAAAATGATTCAATTAGAATACAAAGATTAAATCCATAGCTTTCACATAATATAGGGACTAATAGAGAATTTTTACCATTTATCCATCAAAGAGTTTCTCCAAAGGACTAGGGAGCTGAGAACTGTTAGGCATCCTGCCAAAGCACTTGGACAGTGATGAGTGGATTTGACACATAGGACGGGGGCAGGTGGCTTACGACAGTTGAGGCATAAGCCAATATGATAGAGGTCGTCGAGTAGTATGTTTAATTTATAATATATTATATGGTACTAAAATTAAGGGTTATATATTTTGAAAGAAAAATTGATTATCTAATTATTTATTGTACATACACATAAAATATTTAGTGAAAAAATTGAATTTTATATATTTGATTTTTTTATTTTATAAAAAATAATAATAATCTTATAATTTTTTATATTTTATAGCTTTATCTTATTATAAAATATTTTATAATATTATTTTTAAAATTAAATCAAGGTTTCAACATCTTTTATTACGGATCTGTATGATAGTTAGTTCGGCCAGCAGAATTTTGGTCCGACTTTAGGTTCAGGACCGTGACTTGCAACATTTCATTCAGGTTAATTACCAACATTTCATTCAGGTTAATTATTAATATTATATTAACTAAGTTTTTTATTAGTTTAAATGATAATTCAAATATTGAATATTAAACATTAATTTCGATATAAGGCGGAGGAAATCTTTTATACATCTCAAGTAAATATAATGTTATATATGTTTAAATATTTTTAATAATTTGACGACGAAACTTCTAATTAATTCTAATTAAATATATAGTGCGGTGACTATAGTTGAGTATTTCAATCGACAACCTTCCAATTAAATCTACATTATAACTAACCTCAGTACTGAAGGGGTGAAAAACAAAACAGAAGAGCTTAAGGTAACGTGAGTCATCAAATGCCTCACCCCACCCTAAAATCTCAATATACAATAATCCCATGAAAGTTCACGTATGCATGTGGAGTACTAACGGCATCGTTTGACCATAAAAACGTACAGATCTCGCTCGTCATGTGAATCAGTGCCTATCATTAATGTACATGTTTAATTAATTAGTTAATTAATCCCCAAGTCCCATGACTCTGATTTGTTCCCATTCTATGCTATCTTAGCTACATCTTACGGAAAAGGAAAGAAAGCCTTGCAAAGGTGAAACGAATTGAATGTTCAAAGTGGACGTTGCATGGGCAAATACTGTGGTTGGTTGGCAAAAGCAGAAATTACTACAAGCGATATTATTCCTTAATTTAATGAAACTACTTATGCTTTTTTCTAGAGATTTGGGAACCCTAAATGTAGCTAGAGAAATGAGCAAACGAAATTTGTTAATACAAATCTGAAACGCAAACCGGAAGAAGCATTTCTTGATGTTTTCCTTCGATTAGAAGAAGCTGAATGTGGCTGATAGTGATATGAAAACGATGGAAACAAAAGGCTTCAGTTCCGAGTGCTTGGAGCTGCCGGCCCAATGATAGTACGGCGGTGGATAGACGGCGCCTCCTATAACTCCCGGCTGCTGATTAGTAGGTTCTGAAGTAGATGGAGTCTGACACGTGGTGCAACACGTAGGGCATGCAGGCGGCGGTAGTGGCGGTGATGGCGGTGGTGGAGAAGGCGGAGCAGGTGGTGGAGGACACGGGATTACGACGGGGGCTGGGGGCGGCGGTGGAAGAACAACGGGGGTGCAAGTATCGCATTTCACTTCATCTTTGGATATTGCTGTGGTTATGGTAGTAGATGAACTGGAAGGGAACACGAGAAGTAAGGTGAAAGCAGCCAGTAAAGGCAGCATTTGCTTGGAGTAAACCATTGCCATTTTTGAAATACTTTGATCAAAGGAAAAAAGAACTAAGGAAAGCTTATTAGAAACTAAGGTTTAAGGGTATATGAAGAAGAAGATAGAGTGAAACAAATGCATGTGCATTCGTGGCCGCAGCATTGTTTCGGATTTTATCTTCTATGGAGCCATAATGGGGTAGAAGGGTAATTACATGTTTAGTACCTAAACTATCTGTTTTGTTCTGTTTTAATATCTAGACTTTTAAATTTTCATAACCATACCTAACGTCTAGTTTTTGTTTTTTTTACCTCACCATTAAATTAACAAGTGATTTGCGTGTGACACTTTTTTATGGGTAAATTACATCATTTATCACTCAATTATCTTCTCACTCCTATTGGTCTCTAAGTTTAACTTTTTTAAATTTAATTATTTAACTTTCAAGTTACTCCTAATTTAATCACTCCAACTTCCAAATTTTTTTATTTTAATTATATATTAATAAAATAATAATAAATTTCATGTCACAAAATTATTAATAAAATAAATTAGAGTGATTAAAATAGGAGAAATTAGTGAAATTGAAAAATTTTAAACTTTAGTACCAAAATAGGAGTGAGAAGCTAGTTGAGTGAAAAAAATACAATGATGTTAAGTTTCTAACGATGAGATACTAAAATGAAACAAAAACTAAACGTTAAATATGATTTTAAAAATATAAAAATTTAGGTACTAAAATATATCAAAATTGATAATTTAGGTATTAAACATGAAATTTACCCAACAATTGTTTAGAAAAATCTAACGAGTTTACTAAATTCAATATTATTGAGTCTGTGTATTATTTTTTCTTTTAAAAAATTTACCCTTATATTAAATTAACTATTAATTATTGAGGTAATAATTATAAAAAAGGTAAAATAATATTTGAGTCCTTTTTATATTTTGCTTATTTTTGTTTAATTTTTCATTAATATACTTTATTTGAGAAAATATTTTATTTTATAAAAATCATATAAATTTTAAAAATATAACCGCAGGGTACAATGAACTAAACTATAAATGTGCATGCAAACAAGCACTAGCAAAGAACAAAAGTAAATGATGGACCACTCTAATTCGTGGAAGCTCAATATAAACGTACAATGTTTGAATTATCCCACCGACAAAACATTGTTAAAAATTAAAATTAAAATAAAAGGTCAAAAAAAGTATACATTTAATACCTAAATAATCAATTTTAATTGATTCTAATACTTAAACTTTTAATTTTTTAAAATCATACATAAAATTTATTTATTTTTTGTTTTAATACTATATCGTTATAAATTAAAAGTTTAAGTATTAAAATGGATCAAAACTTATAATGTATTTATTAATTACGTTAAATTTTTAACGATAAAGTGTTAAAATAAAATAAAAACTAAACATTGGATATAATTTTAAAAAATTAAAAAATTATATATTAAAATAAATTACCCAAAATAAAAAGAAGAATGGTTACTGCCAAAATTTTGTTTGTCTATAGGTTAGACAACTATTTAGATGAAAGAGATAACACCGCGTGTTTAGTACAAATGTTTAAATCTGTTCTTTTTATTTTTTAACTTTTGGGTTTTTTTATAATATCTAGAAATAAATTTTTAAGATGGATAATATAAATTTTTTGAATGAGGTAGACATAAATAAAATATCAAAATGAACATTATCAATAAAATAAATCATAATTAAAATTTCATAATAGCACAATAAATTTTCAAAATATACACCATCAACAAAATAAATTAAATGATTAATTAAAAAATGAATTTTAAGATGCACGCATACCCATACTCCCGACCCTTAGGTGCGTTTGGTTTACGAAATGTAAGATTACTAGTGGGAATAAAAAATTACCAGTGGGAATAAAATATTACCAAGGAATATGATTACTAGGAATGTTGTGTTTTGTGTTTGGTTGGTTTTGTAAGAATGTAAGATTATCGTGTTTGGTTAAAGAAATAAAATATTATTGGAATGTATATTTGACCAAATTGTCTTTATTATATATTTATTTTTTTAACAAGTTGAAAAATATTTATATATTTTCTTTAAAAAATTTAAATTCATAAAGTTTATATAATTTTTTTACAAAATTGAAAATATAAAAAAGTTTAATGAAAGGGTAAACTTTTATTTTAATCCCTGAACTTCATATAAAATTTTAATTATAGATTTTTTTTTGTAAATCTAAAATAGTTTAAGGATAAATTTATAATTTAACATTCGTAGAATTTTTATTATTCAATGACAGAATAATGATATTTTTGAAAGAAAAAAAAAATTTAAAGGCATTTTAGTCCAAAACGCCGGTAATACAACAATACCTAAGGAAATGGAGGTAATGACATTCCCGGTAATAATATACCCCAAAAAATCCACTATTGGTAATGTAAGATTACCGAAATGACATTCTCGTCCAACCAAACGGGAAATGTGAAATCCATTCCCATGAAAATCTTACATTCCCCTAACCAAACACACCTTAATGCATCTGCCAATGTTATGATCCAAAATATTATTTAAAAAATATATATAAAAAAGAGATTTGCCGATAAAAGGATAAACTATAATAATTTGATGAAATGATCCAGTTAAGTGTACGGGGAATTTAAAACTATTTGCCGAACTTCAAGATTGGATCTTTAGGTTTCTAGGATCGGGAAACAATTTTCCAAGATTTCAGTTATTGTAAGAGACCATCCAGTTCAGTTGTTAGATATAAGGTTCTTAACTTTGATGTCGTGGGATCGAGTTCCACGAAGGTCATTTAATAATTCGGAGGTCTTTTACGGAAGCTGCTCTCAATCTAGTGTTGGGAATAGCCTAATATCTTACCTCCCCTTACTCCATATATATAGGAAAAAGTACATATAGGAATAAGGGACAACCATTTTTATGAAACCATCTGAATCACTCAACGTCACGGCAACGACATCCCAAAAATGTACCAAATTAATAATAGGTTTTAAGAGATCAAAGAGTTTCTTTTATCCTCCTAAAAATTAAGCTAATGAAATATTTCTTTGATTATTACATTGTGACAAGTTTCGGTAGGGACGATAGATACGTATAATTTCATAAATTTTATATCGTATCGTTTTAATTGAGGTAATCAATTACTACAACTGAGCCTGCTGATGATCTTGGGCTGCACTTGTTGCCCTTCAACAACGCCTATGAACTTCATTTATTTGCCTTTGTATACAGTGGCAATCAAAACCATTCACCACGCGGTTCGCTCAGTCTTCGAGAATGCGGTAGCTCGGGAATCCCACGCATGGCGTTCTCCTTCCAAATCTCCGATGCCCTCAAAAGCGTCTCTTCAGCCGTCAGAAGCTGCACCGGCTTCCACCCGATCACATCTCCCCCGCTATGTTTCGTATCGGTGGCTCTCGTGATCGGTTTCCTCGTATCCGCCACCTCGATCTCCGACAAAGGAGACGCCTTGTGGTCCCTGAAGTACTCCTTGTCATCCTTTGTTTGCTCTCTCTCTTGTCCCCTCGTTCCATTTCTTTGCTCTCCGGCGAGGGCGTGCCGTTGACACCTACACAGCTCACTTCTTCTATGGATGCAGCACTGACTTTGGTATGCCTTTGTTGAAAGTTGGGATCCAAGGGATGGTTCACCGGTGAACTCATCTCGGAGAACTTTCGTGTGGCAGATTGGATTGTTTCAGCGGATCCGTTTCGGAACCGAGTTTGGGCCCTTTCTGTGATCGGTAGTCATTAACTTTATGGTCATCATCTCGATGGTTTTCTGTGCCCTGCAACGTAAAAAAAACCGTCAGAACTTTAACAAATCAACCAGATACAGACTTTGTAATTCATACCAGAGTCTCACCGGTTTGAACCTCCGGTACGGCTTCGAGTTCACCGGAGTGGATTTCAGGGTCAGCTGTTCTTCCTTTAACGGCTGATCCAGATGCAAATCTTCGAAACAGGAGCCTGGCTTCCGGCCGCCGAATACGCTCTCGATGCCGTTGTTTCCAATCTTGACTGCATCCTTGCCTTCCTTCTTTTTAGGGGTTCAGGGTCTCCCGTTTCTCTGTGTGATCGAGTTGCTGGGAATGGACAAGGTGGTCGAACAAATGAGATGGAGTAGAGAAGTATGTGCGAGGAAGCGTGTATTTGGGAGTTGAGGTGGCATCCATTTATAATGCCGCGTGGAACTGTCGTGTTTTTTTTTACTGATAATGGGTATTACGTGTATATGGTACAAGACGCACCTAGAATTTTAATTAAATAAGTAAATATTTAATATTATTTTGATTTATATAAAAGTAAATATTATTTAATATTATTTTGATTTATATAAAAGTAAATATTTAAATTAATAAATAAAAAATATTAAATATTTAATTAAATAAGTATCGAACTAAAAATGAATAATCTTATATTCTAATTTTTTTTCTCTAATAACAATTTAGGTCATTGTAAATTTAAATATTAAACAATTTGATATTATCTTCTGAATTTTGAGTTTAAATACTTAATAAGTCATTATATATATTTTTAAAATTTAATATTTGAGTATTTGCCAATATTTAATCTTAACTCCATCTCTAGTGCCTTTCGTTTTGAACTTCGAGGCTACTCCAGAATTTACACATAATTAAAACCCTGCTAGCACTAGGCATGTTTAAAAACACTCCATTTGAATTATCCGACCCGTCGATACACTAATTCGGTATAAAATTATTGAGTATTAATTTTATTGATCGACTGTCCGACCTGTTATATTTAACAAGTTTTTGGTTGAATCCGAGTCACAAAATTATTCTTAATCTGGTATCCATCTACCCAATTCTTTTTTTTATTACTATTTTTATTTTAAATTATTTTTCATTTTTAATTTCAAAATTATTTTACCTAAACATTCTTATTTTTTAAAATTATACCATTTTAACATTTAAATTATTTCTTTTAATCTTAAATTATTTTAAATTTAATTGTAACTTTTAAATTTTGTTTTCATATGTTATGTATTATAAATTT